ACCCCAAAAAATAGGATCCTTAATATTAGGACCCCAAAATAAGGTACCCCAAATTTCCGGAAACTCCCATATGGGTGCTCTACGAGTGTTGGGCGTCCAAGGCTCTTAGGCTCGCGGCCGCTTGGTACTCGACACCAGAAATACTCTCCCCACTTACACATATTACATAATACATGGTATGTAACATATGTTTTCATTGGTAGAACCTATGGCACTTAAGATGTGAGATATGACAAATCATATGCAACTCTCTATCCTGTTTCTAGGTTTTCGATGTTTCCTTTACCTTGAGAGCAATCCTCCAGGACCCTCGAGGAGAAAAGCAAAAACTCAAGGGCGTTTATCTCGCCCAAGACTTACGTATTGACTGCCTTTAGGGTTTAGGGTTTAGGGTTTAGGGGATTTCGGAGCCATATAGCTATTTAGTGTCCTAAAGCCTTAGCCGTCGGCGTCGAAGCTCTTATCCTCCTTGAAGAGCTCTGAACTATCAGATTGCAGAGGCGACGAGGTGAGCTGTAGCGCTGCCGTCAGCGTGCCCTGGCGTGAGGATGTGACTGTGAGGGTCCCCTAATTACCCGGCCCTGCCCTGAACCCTGAAAACTCGCCCATCAGGCGCACATTTTCTTTACCGATTCCTTTAGGGTTTAGGTTTAGGATGTAGTCAGGGAAAGAGTTCTAGCTTCCGGCCCATGCAAGTTCGTTTTTGAAGCTTGTCATGCCGAATACTCAGAAACAAGCACAACTGATCACTGTGGTTTGGGGTTATGGGTTTCGAGTTTGTGATATTTGTGCGTTTGTGTATAGATTTACAAACGGAACCTTGATGTTAGTCGCAGGTTGCTCTCGTCTGAAGAACGCAGAACCTTTGCCCAAAAGCCTGCAAACATGGCTGTTTACATTTTAGGTTTTACGTTAAGGCGTGTACATACCGCACTTGCCTTGCCAGAATCTCCCCACGACAGCGATTGAGGCGTGTGCTCGTGCAGATGTCTGGCAAAGAAGCTGCTACCTGGCGACGAAGGCCGAACCTATCAGTGGCCAGGACCACGGCAGGATCCTCATCAAGTAAGGTAGAACAGCGGGCATGTTGCTGAGTCTGGAGATTGCAAGGAATGATTTTCTACATTCGGCTCCTACAGGCCTTAGTACTCCAAATAAATGAACAGATAGATACATGAGTTATATTTACATTTATATCTGTCTGCATATTTTTACAATACATATATACATATATGTATGTATACATACATCTATGATATGAATATTTGTTTACTTAGTTTGGAATGTAGGGTGTGGGTTTCGAGTTTAGGAGGGCGTTGGGATTTCGTTATGAGGGTTAGCGCGACTCTGATATTATCTCTTGCTGAAGCAAGCATACCTTACGTACATGAAGGGTCTCTCTCTCTCTGTATATATATATATATATAATTATATATATATATATAGTATGCATATACCTATATATATATATATATATACACAGATACAGAAAAATATAGGTATATACGAATTATGCTTCATTTAAGGCATTTTTCCGAAGTTTCCTGCCTGGTTTCGCTTAGACTCTGAACCCATAATCGGGTCCCAGCGTCGGGCCGCATTACGCTGCGGACTGGAGACGCATAGCAGTAGAGCTTCGAGCAATGGCAGCCTCCCTGTAGTCTCCATTGTAGTTCCTTTTGGGGATACCTTAGGGTTTAGGGTTTAGGGTGTAGTCTCCATTGTAGTTCCTTTTTTTGGTTTAACCAATTTTATACGAAGGATTTTATAAGGTATCCCCAAAAAGGAACTACAATGGAGACTATAGGTCGATACTAAAACATCCCCAGGTTCATGTCTAGGGCTTAAACTTAGGGTGCCCAAACTGTAAACCCAGAGACTCCAATATCCTCATTTAAGGAATATACCTTACATTAGGGATCCTACTAGAAATTTAAGTTAAGGTAGGTTCCTTAAGTAACGGAGATTGGAGTCTTTGGCAACCTGCTTTGTTTGCAGTCTTCGGCGGATGCCGTGGCGCTCTCCGCCACACTGCGTGGCGGGTCTTGGGAGAGGGCCATCAACCTGCTTTCGCATCTGTTGCATTGCACAAATTAATCTAGGGGCCCTAATAATTACTTATACTATTTTGGCGGTCCTGTTATAGTTATAGTATAGTATACCCCAAAACCGTATTCTAATTTTGAAGGCCGCTACATTAATCATCAGATTTTCCGTGGATCAGGTGGGTTCAGGGAAGAGGTGTTCAGGTTCCATGGTGCGGAGGTACTAAAGGGATCGGAATTAGAACCAGGACTATTTCCTAGGGATCTTTAACTTTCATGTAGCATACTAGACCCCCAAAGCCTAAGGTACAGCAAGATGTTGATGTTCTCACGGCTGAAGGCACTTTAATGCTTGCCCAGAGCCCGCAAAGACCCTGAACCTAAACTCCCAAGACCAAACTCTAGAAAGCCTCAGGCCCGAAACCCAAACCCTTGCTTCCTTATTCTGATCTCCGTACATAGGTTAGTTCGGTGTCAAGGTCTGGGGAGTCGCAGGCCAGACGACGTCGGGCTGCGGGTTTGCAGCTGTTTTCTAGAAGCAGGAAGAAGCCCTCACTCACCACAGAAGCTTTTTTGTGCTTTAATTCTCAGCATTTTAAGGTTTGATTGCGAGGCTTTGGGTTGAGGTTGAGTGTTTCGCGCATATCGGCTTATCGAAGTTGCCCCACCTCCAGACGCCATAAGAGGCCGGGATGAGAGAAGCATGCGACCGATTTGCAATCTCCGAAGATACGCTTGTGTAATGTCATATGGGCTTCTTCCCAACGGTGCTGAGTAGGGTGTTTATGTTCTTTGGGGGCTTCTAAGTATAGGGAGTACCCGATCCTACCGCTTAGGAGTCCATCTTTCTACTCCCGTTTTTTGTTCTTGAAATTTATATATCGCAGACTCAACTAGACAGCATACATGCTTGTAAGACAAGACGTACCAGAAACCTTTTCGTCTAATCTACCATAAGCCCTAAGCCCTAGGTCCGCGCTACATCTACATATATCTAGAGGATGACAGCTTCAAGGCCCAGGTCATTGTCCTTTGAGAGGTAATGTGTCCCTTACATAAGCTCAGAAGCTTGACCTCCAAAGAATCGAAGTTACTGGACAGGCAAGACAAGCCGCAATGTTTCACATCCAAGTCCGATCGGCAAAAAACCTAATCCCGAAGAAAGGCTCCACCGTGGCTTTGAAGTCGATTCGGTCAGCGTGGGGGCTGCTGTTACAGCTTGCCAGGCCCTCTTCGGAATATGGAGGTTGTGGGGTTCAGGGTGTTAGGATGGACAGGGGCTGATGCACTGACGCACACTGTTTCAGAACAAAATTACTAAGTGAGGACTCTATTACCCTAGGGATCTAAAGGACTCATATATTAAGGCTTTTGGGCCCAAAGACCATACTATATAAGGCTTTTGGGCTATTTTGATCCCTAGGGTTACACTGTTGCCCATGACAGCGGCAGCTGGTGAATAACTTCCCGCAATGTGTCTCCAAAGGAGTTCTTATCGTTGATGGATTTCTAGCCTGAGTGTATTATTATAGGGCTTTTTTCGAGAAATATCACAAAGTTGTGGGGAATATTATACGATGTAATGGAAAGAACTCCAAAATATATTGGTGATTATTTAGGCCCCTACATTGCAGCACCGCAGACTCTAAACCATGGGCCCCACACAAACTAGCAATACGGCTGATGGACAAAATCCTGCATTACCCACTATAAGGAACATACCATAATTCCCATAGTTTAGGGTTCTTAAGGTCATGCAGGATTTTGTCCATCAACCGTATGGGTTCTTTCACTCAACCTCGGCAACAGGAAAGCCAGGGCCAAGGTTTCGGGTTTTTTTTTGGGGGGGGGTTAGGGTTTAGGTTTAGGGTTTAGGGCTCTAGGGTTCTAGGGTTTAGGGTTTAGGGTTTAGGGTTTAGGGTTCAGGGTTCAGGGTTCAGGGTTCAGGGGTTGGGTTTAGGGGTTCCTTCTTGATGGTCTAGGTATTAGATGGGTTCTAGCTTTTCGGGCTCCTAGGTTGAAAAGTGCTGAAAAGTTTGGAAGCTGCTTCTCGGGTCGATAGGCAGCGGCACCCTAAACCCTAGAACCCTAAACCCTAATCCCTAAACCCTAAAGCCCTGAACCCTAAGCCCTAATCCCCAAACCCTAGAACCCTACACCCTAAACCCTAGAACCCTAAACCCTAAACCCCCTAAACCCTAAACCCTAATCCCAAAAGCCTAAACCCTAGAACCCTAAACCCTAAACCCTAGAACCCCAAACCATAAACCCTAGAACCCTAAACTGCCTAAACCCTGCAAACCTAAGTTCGGGGACCTAAAGGCCGGACCGGAGGATGACTTTGGGTTTAGGGGTTTAGGGTAGCGGTTTAGGGGTTTAGCGGTTTAGGGTTTAGTGGTTTAGGGTTTAGGGGTTTAGGGGTTGATGGAGATGCACAAGGAAGTCACAATTCGGAGCCCGACAGATTTAGGCTCTAGGGTTACGCGAATCAAAACACGATTCAAAACACTATGAAGGAGCGCCTCGCCTATCAGAATATTAAGATATTCGGCTGGCCAGGGAAACCAAGCAACTAGCAAGAGTTCAGAAAAAGAGGCGACCTGAATAGTACGACCCTTGATACCAAGGGACCCTTAATGTCATGAACCTCCAGCTGAGTCCGGCGACCTTTTTTTTCTATGACGGCCGGGCGGTGTTGGCTGCTTTGCAGGTGGCTGCAGCGTGGGTGGCAGCGATGGCGCTTGTCCAGCAGATGTGTCTCTGCTCAAGACAGGAGTTCCTTTCGATGAATGACCCCTGTAGTACTCTTTTGCCCTTTTTCTTTTTGGGCTCCCTTACTAAAACCAAATAGTAGGAGAAAGGGTACCCTTATTTCGCCAAAAGGCTCAAATCTTTTTGTGGGCGGCCTTGTACGTCTCGCGCTTTGAATGCTGTGGCCAATGATGCCAGGTCTATCATTCTGGATATCCAGAAGATTCTTCTTAAGTTGAGCTAACACAGCTCCCCTCCATGACATGACCGCTCTTTGAGACTCGAGGTACCCTTATTTTTTAGGGGCTACTGGGGAACCTAGTATATACTTGTTAGTATAGCCAAGTGGCCAGGCACACAATGATCGCATGGCCCTAACCTGCATGGTTTGTATATCCTTTTGTATAAAACTTATTTATTCTTACTGTGAACCATAAGGGCAAGACAGTCAAGCAGAACAAGGAACTAAGTTGTTAGGTGCGTCCTGGCAAAGGGTTTGCCGTGAAACGACTGCCCAGGTCAGCTTCGACTGCAGTGCGCATGGCATGCCGTCTTCTTTCAGTGCTCAGTGTGTGGACTAAAACGCATCATCAAAGAGAGTCATGCCCCAAGCGGTAAAGCCCTAAAGCCGAAGCCTGAAACCTGCGAGTGGGAAAACAAAGCCTGAGCCCAAAAGGCGCATACCCAAGACCCCACCAAAACGGTTTAGGGTTTAGGGTTTAGGATTTAGGGTTTAGGGTTTACCTAAACTCTGCACCCCCAGAGCCTACAGAGGTCCTTTTTGGTCAACCTGAACCATCTGGTCTGTGTCCCGGCAACGCTTGAACCTGCAAGCCAGGTCTTCTTGTTTAGCAGGTTAAGGCGGGCTCTGTAGGTTGAGGGAGGAGGGGTTTATGAGTTTAGAGTTCAGAGTTTGGGCGTTAAGAGTTCAAGGTGAATACTATTTCTTGGGGTCTCGAATATCAGCAACCGCATTGCGCTCCAAAACCTCAATTTCTTATGGCTTTCCTTAAACTACCAAAATCTAGTTTTGTGTAGGGTCCATGTAAATTCGTTGTTTGGGGATACAATACGAACATACGAAAAATCAGGCTATCGTAGTTTCAGGTCTGTATTACTCGTTAGGGTGAGCCTTGGCCAATGATCGTGAATACAAGCTGGGAAAACGGCTGCGGTTTGATTTGGGAGCTTGTGCAGTTTGGCAAATACTGCTACATGTTGGGCTTCCAACGTGTGCACCAATGTCGGCATCTGGTAGACGTGGAATTCGCTGAGTGTCTCATTGAGTCCTTATACTCGCAACACGAGGATTCATCGGAACACCACCACTGCCACAATAACCACCGCCACCACTGCCATAACAACATCGACGACGATAGTAACGTTACGTAGCAGTACGCAGTGTCACTAGCTTTCTTCGTTTTGTCCGGGAGCCGGAAACGGTCATACAGAGAGACAGCCGGCGCATGTCCGAGCAAGATGCTAGCATTGCACGGTATGGGATACTTGCATGTGTGGAGAATCTGGGGGATGGGAGAAACCAAATCTCATCTCATTGTAACCTTTGCAACAATAACCCTTCTAGTGTCCCTTGTTGCCTGCCTTCAGGCGGAACTAAAACCTAAACCTAAACCCTAAATCCCCGATGTAACAAACGTGAGAAACCCATCCGAGGCCATGCTGCCATGATCGCTTGCCAGCGTATGTCTGCGCACCTGGCCGCCATGGCGATGCTGAAGAGCCGCCCGGGTTTGAATACGACTTCGGTCCCTCTCCTCCCTCCTTCTCTCTCCCTCTCTCCCCCTCTCTCTCGGTCTCTCTTTTTGTTTATTCGCTCTCTCTCTCTCTCTCTCTCTCTGTTCACACGCACAAGAGGTGTGTATGTACGTATATATGTATATAGCTCGATACTTGTTTCGCACATGTGCACGTATTGTACTGACACACAGGCATGCATATATACTCAGGCATAAATATATACACATATCGATATAGGTATACTTACTATATATATATACATACATACATACATACATACATACATACATACATATGTGTATACACACAAACAAGTTTGTTGATTGACAGGTATAACTTGAAATGACATCGTATGTGCATATACATATACAAATGTATGTATGGATGTATGTATGTATGTATGTATGTATGTATGTAAGTATGTAAGTATGTACGTAAGTATGTATGTAAGTATGTCTGCCTGTATGTATGTATATATACATACACATGTATGTATACATGCCTTCATACATACATATGAACAGATAAACAAGCGAATAACATAATTATACACACCGAGACACGCGCGCACACACACACATATATATATATATATATACATATATATATATATATATATATATATGTATGTATATGTATATACATACATACATACATACATACATACATACATACATACATGCATGGGCGTGCGCAGTGGATGCTTTGAGGATTTCAGCAGGTTACCGCGTCAGATCTCCCGGTTTACCAGGATTGCATATGGGGGTTTCCGAGAATAGGGGACCCTAATATAGTACCCCCAAATAGTAGGATCCTTATTATAAGGACCCCCCAAACAAGGTACCCTAATTTTCGGAACCTCCCATATACAGAGGCAAAGCCTGGCGATGGGCATGCTTGGATGGGCAGGGGCTGGCAGGATGAGGATATGGGAGTTTCCGGAAATTAGGGGTACCTATTTTGGGGTCCTTATAATAAGGATCCTACTATTTGGGTGCTATATTAGGGTCCCCTATTTTCGGAAACCCCCATATACGCCTTCCTTAAATTGGGCCAGAACCTACCTTCCCGTAGCTTCGAGTTCTAAGGCATACACCTTAATGTACGTTTCTGCAGGTTCTGATTATAAACCGTACTAGAAATCTCTGTAGGTACTGATTCGAAAATCGAAAACCTTAATATAGAACATGGAGGGACCCTACAAGTTTTCCTTAAACACTGAACCCTGAACCGGGAAAGCCCAGGCATGGCTTCATGGAAGGTGAGGCAGGCGAGATGGGAAGAAAGAGCTTGGCACCAAAACCTCAAAGCCCTTTTTTAGGCTTTAGGGCTCCTTCTTCTGATTACTTTATAGCTGTCCTTACGTAGGTAGGTGGTCTGGGTTCAAGATGCACCCTCTCCCAAGCCGTTCCCCGTCTCCCATGTGCTTCCGACCGGACCTCAAGAAGCTCCCAGAAGACCCAAACCTACATAGACCGCAAACGCCTGAATCCTACACCTACACCTCCAAAAAAGGACTTCGCACCCTGAAAAACCTCTAATACAGGTGTCGGAACAGCTTGAACGGGGTTCGCGGCTGTTTTACTGTACGATAGATATGCTAGTCCTTGCAACGGGCATCTCCCTCTAGTTCTTCCCACCCCTACATCATGTTGCCGTTATTACCCCTTCTTCTCCGCAACCCGCCACCCCCCTTAAAACCCTGGACGAACCCAAAACCTACTTTTTTGTAGGGTCCCTCTAAATCCCATATTAGGGTTTATAATAAGAACCTAAGTGGGTTTTGGGTTCTTAAGGTAGTCACTAGTCCCTACTATCCGGCAGCTCCGAAGCCTCGTCCGACAGAGCCGACTGCATCGGCGTAGCCATCGTCTGCAATGCCTGCGCAAACACTGAGGCGGGAGGCAGCTGCTTTGGGTCTCCACGGGGTTTGGGGTTCGGCCCCAAAACCCTATTCTAACTATGATGGCCCCCATATTACCGCCCTGGAAGGTCCTCCCCGGCTGCTGGCTCTGGAGTTAGCTTTGGAACCGCAGTTGGTGTTTGGGTTTAGGGTTTAAGGTTTAGGGTTTAGGGCTGTGGGCTATCAGTCCGGTCGAGATCTGACAAGGCCGTTGCAAAAGGGTTTAGGGTTTAGGTTGCTTCGGTCAGTTGTGCTAAGGTTCCATTCTACGAGGGTTCGAGAAAGGTTCATATGGGACTTTCCGAATATTGAATTAGGGTCCCCTATTTTCGGCAACCCCCATATGTACTCATATATGTATATATATATATATACAGATATACATATAGGGTTGATGTCGACCTATGATTCGTTTGCGATTTCCGCGCAGTTTCTGAAGCTTTTTCAACCTACTACGACCCACTAGGGGATCATTATGCCTAATCCCCAAGCAGCTCCAGTCTAGTCTAGTTACAGTCTGGAGCTTTGGATTACGGATTCGGGGCTGTTGCGATGGGGTTGTATAACATCAGGTTATAGCTAGTATAAGATACTCTGTCACGCCTTCTAGCATTGCATAGCTGAGAGACTGAGATACTACATGATACTACAACGCACGCAAATGTCCTACCAGAGCTCGATCTCCCAGAGCCACAGGAGGTCAGTGCAACAGCTCTTCGGGAGCCAATCAGTTTGTTTTTTAATGTTTCATCCTTTCTCCCTCCAATCCTACACTCCTTCACCCTTAAACCCTGAAAGCCTCATCCTTCGAGCTGTAAACTCCTGCACCCTCTAAACTCTTTGGCTTTGCCCCTTGGACATGTACAAGAGAGTCCGAGTTTGAGCGCCAAAGCCCTACAATCCGCTTAATTAAAGTCCCAACCCAAACGCTACAGAGTCCGTAACCCGAAACACAAACCCTAAAGTCTGTTAAGCCTTAAACCCTAAAGCCCTAACTCTAGGAATCCTCACATGAGCATGTTGATTGTTGTTTCTTTGACATACTTTGCTACTTTGGGCCTTATTAAAACAAGGTGTCCTGTGGGGATGTCGAGTTGGAGCGCCAATGAGCTTCATGACATGCTGGCTTGATTCTTGCCATCCTTCTCTAGTACTTGATTTTTAGTTGACTATACTGTGTATTGTTCAGCATAGGTTAATGCATGATGTGGGTCGTCAGTCTTGTCATAGCAACACTGCAGCCGAAACTTGAATCCCCTAATTGATTGCAATCTCTTTTTCTCTGTTGAACCTCGCCTGTGAGCATAGTTCTCTGCAGTGCGAGAGGAACAAAACCCTAACTCTTTAGTCCTAGCTTTAATCGAGGCCTGGGTGGAAGGAAGCGCGGTGCTGGCCTGGATGCAGGAGGAGCTTCTTGCGGACCAGGGGGGCTGTTGGGATAAAGGATTCGGCCCTTGTTTAGGGTTCAGGGCAACTAGTACCCAAACCACCCAAATATACCCTAAACCCTAAACCCAAATATACGTTAAACATGGCTCTACACATATACGAGGCTGTTATTCTGCATAACCTTTGGAGGCGAGGTCGACCTTAGGGCTTGATTTGAGGGCCCAGGGCTTGATGTTTAGGGAGGGGGTCAGGGCCTTAGGTTCAAGGTTGTGGGGGTTTGGGGTTTAAGGTTGAGGCCTCTTATACCTTAGTTCAAAAAGGGTTTAGGATTAAGGGTTGAGGTCTCTGAAAGTGTTCCAAAAGGGTTTAGGGTTTAGGGTTTGTGGGTAGCCTGTTGCAACAAAGGGTCTCTGGGTTCGGCATTTGCAGGCTGGACGAAAGGGGGTCCAAAGTTGTAGGGTCTGCTTTAAAAGCCTTCGAGTTGCTGTTCCTGAGGGTTTCAGTATATAGGTATGCTACAACGAACCCCCAAAACCCCATTCCAAGTTTAAAGGCTCACTGTTAGATTGAAGATGCACTCTTCAACCCTAAACCCTAAAAACTCTGAGCCCTAAACCCTAGTAGGAGGCAAAAAGAAACTCCTACACCCTAAACCCCTAAACCCTACAAACCCTATATATATATATATATGTATATATATAAGCCCTAAACCTATCCATAGACCGATTTAGTCAGGGCCCTGGGCTTGCGACAGAAAGGCCCTTAATAGAGCCCTTATGGTCCCTCGTAGTGGGCATTTGAAGGCAGAAACACACAGGGTGGTGGGAGGTCTTGGAAGATCCGGGACCTCCACCCCCCCCAGGAGCCCTGGACTGACAGCACCTCTGACAAAGCACCACAAAGATCCTGTAGAACTTTCGAAGCGCTTTCTGAAAGATCTTTTAGGGTTTAGGGTTTAGGGTTTAGGGTTTAGGGTTTATAGGGTTTAGAGTTTAGGGTTTAGGTCCTTCTATAGTATCACCCTAAACCTGAAGCGCTCAACCCTCGACTCTAAAACCGGAGGCCCCTGAAGGGCCTTCAAACCAGCGGTTAAGGTTTAGGAATTAGGGCTTATGGGGTTTAGGGTTTGTTGGTTTTAGGGTTTAGAGTTTAGGGTTTAAGGTCTAGGGTTTAGGGTTATCATAACCCTAAACCCTAAACCCTAAACCCTAAACCCTCTTCAGAAGCTGATCAGCAGTGACATGGTGGCCTTCAACTCCGCTCCTTCGCCGCCATTCGAGGGGTTTTCGGGTTTAGGGCGGAGGGGTTTAACACAGGAGCCATAAAGGGTTTAGGGTTTAGGGTTTAGAGCCATAAAACATACTTATACTATTTTTTGAGGTGTTCTTATTATGACTATAGTTTTAATATAAAAACCCACAAAGCCTTATTCTATCGATTAAGGTCCCTATATTAGGGGTTTCGGGGGTTGTGCGAGACCTTTGGGGGTTTAGGGCTTAGATGGTTTGGCAGCGACGAAGTCGGCCATGGAGTTGAAAAGGCTTTTTGGGTGCCGGACTACGGAACACCCGTGCGGGCAGTTCTCTCAATTAGGTTCCCTTTTCAGGTCCCCAATATAGTACGGCACCCTTATAACAAAAGGACCCTAAAAGGGACCCTAATTTAGAGAACCACCCATGTGAAATGCTGGAAGAAGTCGTGGACGAAGCTTCTCGCACGCTAGAAGCTGTTCGAGCTTTTACATATTTCTTGTGCATGACATCTCGATGTTTTCTGCAGATCTGAAGCCTCATAGGCTTATGTAAGCTCCCCTGCCCTCCAATTAGCCCGAAGCCCGCAACCCTGATTCCGAATCCCTAAACCCTATAAGCCCTAATCCTTAAGCCCTAAAGCCTAATGGCACGAACCTGTCCGGTATTCTTCTGACTGTACCCTGCAATGCAGGCTTGGTCCTAGCTAGGTGGGAGGCAAAAAACCTAATCCCTAAACCTCAACGAGCCGAAGCCTAAAACCCCTAAAACCAAGACTCTCTAAACCCTAGGCCCTAAACTCCATGAACCCTATAAGCACCAAAAAACGCCGATTGTAAATGTCAACAAGCCGTGCCAGGTCCTCTGCTCCTTGGGCCCACGCTGGCGCTGGGCCGCGCTTCTTTGCCAAGGACGGGCTTAGGGTTAGGGTTTTTGGTTAGTATAGGGTTTAGGGTGTTTGGTTTTAGGTTTTTTTTTGGGTTTTAGGGTTAAGCTTTCACTTACTTTAACAGATAAAAGCCGTCAGGGGGTTAGGAAAAAGAGTGTTCATGGGGTGAAGGTGTTAGAGAATACCCCGTTTTCCCCTTTGTGGCTCCTTGTATTTGATTAAGTTCACCGTGCCCGAAGCCACCCCGAATAATTAGATTTACCTTTGGGTTGTCAGAGGGCAGGGTTGCTTTCAGGGTTCCTTGACGGGTTACAATAAGCGTGCTAGCCACAGGCCTTCGTTTTGTTTGGTTACAGTTCGGGTGTATAGTAAGAGGGTTTAGGGATACTTACCCATAGGCTCCATTGTAGTTCCTTTTTGGGGTTACCTTCTATGAGATTCTAGGATCCTAAATTTAAGCCCACAAAACGGAACTACAAGGGAACGTAAACACCGCTGTGAGTCCTGCTGCACTGGGAGTCTCAACCATTGGTCGACCCCGCCTTGCAATGTTGGGGGTCTGAGTAACGAGTCACAATGCCCCCCCGCTCCCCTCTGCTAACCCCTCTAACTAGTACACCCTAAACCCCTAAACCCCGAAACCCTAAACCCTAAACCCCTAAACCCTAAACCCCTAAACCCCGAAACCCTATTCTGATTGTTAAGGCCCCTATACTGTTCGAGGCAAAGCTCCGCTGATGAACTTGCCGGATGTCGTGAGCTGACTCCTGGCAGTGGTTGCTTAGGGTTTAGGGTTTAGGGTTTTGGGTTTTGGGTTTGGGGTTTAGGGTTTCGGGTTTAGGGTTTAGGGGCTTAGTAGCGTTGCTTAGTACCCTAGGGATCTAAGGACTCATATATTAAGGCTTTTGGGCCCAAAGACCATACTATATAAGGCTTTTGGGCTATTTTGATCCCTAGGGGTAGCTGGCTGGGTAACCTGGTCTGGATAATGCATTACTGATATCCCTACGGGTTCCGAACAAAGCCATGTATAGCATAATCTACACCAGAAGAGAGTTCTGAGTAATTCTGAGCATTAATATGGCCACTATTTTGATAACTTCCCATAGTTCAAAGCCTCAGATTTTATGTGGCAGGGGTGTGGCAGGGAACTCAGAATCTAGCTGCGCGCAAATCCCGAACCCTTAGGATCTAAACGCCTGTGAACCGATGATGTAGAGTTGGATAATGGCTTAGAGGGTATTAGAGGGTTTTACGGTGTTGTTCATTTGCCTGAACAATTGGCAATAATATAGGGGGATCAGAATAATTCGGTTTGGAGTTTATATACTATATATTTATATGAGGAGCCCTCCCAAACCTTATTCTAACTATCAAGGCACCTACACTATTCATCCGTAGGGGTGCTTATAGGAAGACCCTAAACCCTAAACCCCTGCTGCACTAGGGTCCCTTGTCGGGTGTCTAGGTTTTTGATGCGTCTGTGGAGTCACGGGCTCTTACAAGCAATATACCTGTTGGATCCTTTAGCTATACAGCGGGTCCGGACAGTGATTTAAGGCATCTTCCTTACCTACTTGGAGGTTCATGGGTAGTTATGAGTAGGGTTATAAGTAGGGCAACAATAGCTATAATGGATAGCCCAAATCTGCTTGCACATGAAGCCTCTAAGTGGGGGTTTGGCGTCTCAGGTTCCAGGAGCCAAAGGGTATTCGCGGTAGAGGTTTCAGAGTTAAGGGTTTAGGGGTGTATGAGCAAGGGAGGGTCATTTCCGAGTT